ATGCTTTTTCTTGCTTTTTATAAGGGGGATACCAAGGCTTAAAGAAGTTAAGTGACTTTTCTAAAATACCACAGTTACTAAGTGTAGAGCGATGATTCCAAATCAGGTCTACTTGACTCCAGAGTCTAAATTCTGTGTGACAGATAATCATCATTTATAGGTTCAGAGACGGACTTGCTTCAGATCACACAGCTAGTGAGTAGCCGTATTTAGAAATACAAGCCAGACTCCTCTGACTCCAAAGCTCTTCCTTTGCACAGTGGTTTCACAGTGATATACCATGTATCACCTGAAGACTAAATGAGGGATAAATTTCACATATAGCTATACTATTTTTCCAGATTTTTACAGATAATATTGTAATTAATAAAATACAGGCCAGACAAAGTAGCTCTCACCTGTAATCCCAGCACTTTGGGAGGCTGAGATGGGCCGATCACTCAAGGCCAGGAGTTCAAGACCAGCCTGGCCAACATGACAAGACCCCATCTCTACTAAAAATACAAAAATTAGCTGGGTGTGGTGGTGCACCCCTGTGGTCTGGGCTATTCTGGAGGCTGAGGCATGAGAATAGCTTGAACCTGGGAGGCAGAGGTTGCAGTGAGCTGTGATCATGCCACTGTACTCCAGCCTGGGTGACAAACAGACTGTCTCAAAAAATAAAATATAAATTCATATAAAAAACAACCAAATTTACTGTAATTCTTTTTTCCATTATGTATTTTATCATTATATACCCAAAAATACAAGTTCCACCAAGTCCTGAAGGAGGAACAGAATGTCTGTGGTGTTTTCCGACATTGCTAAGAGCTCCTTGTATTCCGCCTGCCTACTTCTCTAAGAGCTCTCCAAAATCACACTTAGGTACTTTTCCCTAAGTACTGTCCTAATTCTTGGTTACAAACTCACAATTGATAATTGCCTTCTATGTGGAATAACTGTCCAAAGGTCAACAGCAGCACAGGAGGCACACTCCCTTCTGGGACCTGAGAATAGATGCTAAGAACTAATGCTGTTTCCAGCAAGGTGGACCCAAAACTTGGGCTATGGAAGGAAGGAGTCAGGGCAATGAATTTCTGTCTTTCCTACCTCAACCTCTAACTCCTTCCCTGCCCACTTGCCTAAGACAGTTGGCCTGGAGAAAAGAGCACACTGACCTGGGTTCAAATCCTAGCTTCACCTCTTCCTGGTTATGTGCCTTTAGGCAAGTTACTTAATTTCTCTAAGTTTATTTGTCTGGGAATTCCAGCAGAGGAACAGGCATCTGGACTCTGGAGCTCATTAGTCTAGCCCAAGATTCAGGGTGGATTCAATTAATGCTTGTTGATGCCCAGTGTGTGCCAGGTTCAGTGTCATGCACTGGAAATTCAGAGATGTGTGGTATATAGACTTCGATGAGCTCACAGTGTAGTGGGAAACAAAAACATGTAAGCTGATAATTACAAAACATGTGATACACTCAATACAAAGTTCTGAAGTCGTACAAAGGAGGAAGTGATTTACTATTCCTACCAGAGGCTGGGGAACATCAGAGAAAGCATCACACACAGGGTTTTGAAGGATGAACAGGAGTTTCCCAACACACTAAAAGGGGAAAGGTGATGTAAGAAAAGGGAACAGTATATGTAAGGATAGGTGAAACCGTGATGTATATTTGAAAAACAGCAAGAAGTTTGACACAGCTGGAATGTTATGGAGAGACAGGAGATGTAGAGATAGGAATGCTGCAATGAGCTAGATCATCCAGGGCCTTGGTATCTTGCTCAAGAGAAAAGATGGGGCATAGCCTTCCACACCTACCCTTGGCTCTGGTGCTCTTCCTGTCAAAACAAGTACCCTGCGATCACACCCTTTCCTGAGCCTTTGATTTAAGAGTTCCTCTCCTGGCCCTGACAGTAAGGCATTTCTGTCCCACAGATTATAACTCACTCTGGGCTATTATTCAGCTCCCCAGCCCTGGCCCTGCTGCAGTTAGTCCAAACATAATATCCTTCATGCATATATTATCTGTCTCCCTATTATCTGGAATCATTTCGGAATTAAATTTCAGTCCTGCAATATTGGCTTCAGGAGCGGCGCGCTTTATGGGCTAGTCAAAGGTTAGAATACCAATCAAAATAACAGTGCCGATGCAGCGAGACATTTTAATATTCCAAAACCCGGTAATTGTAAAAGGACATAATATTTTTTCCCTGATTACCCCAAAGGCAACACATGTTAACAAGGCGAGGGAAGGAGTGAAAGAAATTTCAGAGTTCAGACAGCTGTAAGACATATTTAAAGGAAAAGCCCAGGCTGGGCACTACACCATGGGGGCAGGGAGATGGGAAGAAAGGAGATGTTCCCTCTAGCTCTGGCAGCTCCTGACTCCAAACACAGCACTTTCCCTCCTCTGCCTCTGGACTACACTCCAAGAGCTTATCCCCAACAGCAGATGTTGCAGAGTGGAATGAAAGGGGAAAGGGCTCAGGATCTGGAGTCTCAAGGCCCAGGTTCTAGTTTCAGCTTACAATTCAGTAGCCTCCAGCCCCCAAGACTAGTCCCTCCCAGGGTTCTGGCATCAAACCCAGCAGCAAGCACTCTGGGCTGCTCTCTCACTTACTCTCTCCTTAACCCATGCCTGTGCTCCCACCTCTGCCAAATCTCTACCTAGTGTTCTGTGCACGTTTTTTCCCCCCCAAAGGCAGATGAAGGCCCTTATCTACCTGGCCTACAGAGCTGATTTTCATCAGGACACCAGCCCACAACTGCCCACTGCCCCAGGGACAATGCTCTGCACTTTGGATGATGCCAAAGACTGAGACCACAGCCCCAGTCTGGTTCTGACCTCGGAGTGACCCAGAAGTAACTGCCCTCAGTGCAGACTCCCCCCATCTCCAAAACAAAACAAAACGAACACCTTGTGAAGTGCCTAGTCACACCTTTCTTGATCTTCATTTTTCTTAATTTTTTTTTCCAAGTTAGCTTCTGAATAGACCAAGGAGAGGAACTCTGTGGCCAGCACCTTGCAGCTGCCTTTGTATAGAGTCCTCGCTTCTGTCAGGCTGCTATCACTTGAGCAGCTTAATCCCCACAGCTCCCCCAAAATTAACCCTGACTAGCAGGGTTTTGGATCCCCTCACGCCTGATGACTTCCCAGCCAGCTCAGCCCACTTGCTGAAGCCTCCAATCTGCATCATCCCGACCTGCTGACCTGCCGACCTGCCTATGGCCCCCAGCAAAGAACTTCATTAAGGCCGAGAATTTATTCCTCCATAAGCCCTTAATTTATTATTGCACTGATTGGGACTCTGAATGCTCCAAGGTCAGGAAAAGTCACACTCAATCGTAGATACCAACCCTCCCTTCAGCAGTTTCTCCTGCTGTACCCTCCCAGGGGAGGGGGAGAGATAGAATGCTTCTTGGAGAGACCCAAGATTTTCTTTAAGAGCTGGTCCCAATCCCACCCTCTTCAGAGCATCCAGAAATTGCAGCAAGGCATAGTGTACAGATGGGAGAGGAGAAGTGGAGCAGCAACCTTCATACCCTGATATACCAGGGTCTGTTAAATTCTAGGTGGCCCTTATCCCTACGGCTGCTAGGTTTGACTGGCTGAGCCCTGACTGCAAGGACTGACTCAGAATCCTCCTAAGGCTTCCTTCCTGCTTCCCCAGAAGCCCACGTCCCTCAGTCCATTTTGTGTTGCTCTAAAGGAATACCTGAGGCTGGGTAATTTATTTTTAAAAAATGGTTTATGTGGCTCATGATTCTGATGTCTGGAAAAGTTAAAGACTGGGCATCGGGTGAGGGCCTCAGGCTGCTTCCACTCAAGACAAAGTGAAGGGGAGCTGGCTTGTGCAGAGTTCACATGGCAAGAGGGAGCAAGACAGAGAAGGAGAAGTGCCAGGCTCTTTTTAACAACAAGCTCTCTTGGGAATGAAGAGTGAGAACTCACTCATACCCCCCACTCCTGCCCCAGGGAGGACATTAATCCATTCATGAGAGAACTGTCCCTCACAATGCAGACACCTCCCATTCAGTCCCAACTTCAACATTAGGGATCGAATTTCAACATGAGATCTGGAGAGGACAAACATCCAAACCACAGCACCACCTATCAGGCCCAGGAGTCAGGGGGAATTCCACACAATTTGTGAGTATGCGCACACACTTGCACGGCTATGTGTATAGGTATGCATTTGTATTACATTTACACGTATGTGTCCATGCGTATGCAATAGGTAAACATATTTTATGTGTGCACGCATACACACACATACATCCTTATGGAGGTCTCATCCATCCTTTCTGTTTCTTGACTCCTTATTTATAATAACATTCTTTTCCATTCAACATTAGCTACCCACTTCCATGGCCACACCTTGGAACCTGGCAACACCTAGAACTGCCCCATCTCTGAAATCACTAATTCAGACATCCTATTCTTTAACCATACTCTCTAATCCTTCCATCTGGCATGTTCAACTATACCCAGTGTACCAGTTCCTCATTTTATTGGTACCGATTTACTTTTTCCATACCTATCAGAGCTCCTGCTATCTTTTCTTCCCCCGACATCCAGCTTGGATCTCATAATCCATCTTGCCGACTGCTGTCTTACCAACATCTTCAATTCCCTAATCCCTTTCTCCCTTTCATCAAACCTCCTTGAGGAAAATCTCCGCCCTGGATGAATCTAAATGTCTACTTTCTCCATGCCCACAACCAGGCAGCTGAGGTCCAATAAAGAAGTCATGCAACTGAACAGAGTGGTTCCACAATGAATTAATGCCATCAACCTCAACTGGATCCTCAACACTGCCTAGAAATCCTACTATACTTCTCAAGTCAGCTCACACATCTTTTCTTTACTAGAACAGCAATCCTGTAAACCCTCCCAGCCCTTCCCTATTGGTGATCAGCAAATGACTCATCTTCCGTTTCACACAGAAAAATAAAAGCCATAGGATGGTAACTACCTCAACTTGCTTTGCTGCCACCAAATCTGCAAGCCCACCTACCTCCACATGAGCCCATCTTCTTCTTCCCTCCTGTCCCAATAGAAGCAGGGACCTTCCACCTAAAGAGAGCGAATGTTTTTTAAATTTTTCTTTTTTTTTTTTCCTGCCTAGATTCTCAGAATAAGGAGATCCAATTTCAAGAGCCTGGGCTTTCCATCCCTTCTCCTCTCACCTCCTCAGAGGCCTCCCTTACTGGTTTCCTCTCCCTCTGCACCTTCAACAGGATTTCATTTTGTAATAGAGCCTACAAACAATGTCTTCTACTTAAAACAAAATCTGCTTTAACCCCCACTTGCTCCATCACAGCTCTTGTCCTTTCTCTCTCCTTCAAAGCCACATTTCTGAAAAAGTTGAAGTTTCTCTATCTCCTCATTTCTCATTTACTCGTTAGTTCACTCCAGTTTGGCTCCTGTCCCGATCATGCCACTCAGGACCAAGGTCACTGAGGCCCTTGTAATTCAGGGCTTATAATTTAGTCTCCACATTGTGCAGCCCTCTCTGAACTGACCACTCTCCTCTTCTCCAACACTTTCTTTTCTTGGTTTCTACAATACCACACTCTTACAGTCTTCTCTTCATCTATCACTCTTTTCTCTCTTTCTCTGTCTCTTCAGCATTCAGCGAAACTAAATTTAAGTTGTAGCTCTGCCATGTACTAATGTGAAATCACTGAGCAAGTTTCGTGATTGCTCCATGCCTTGGTTGGTTCTCTCAACCTTAAATTGTGAAAAACAATAGCAAACACTGCACTGGGTCCTGTGAGGACTAGACAATGTAGGTACATAACCACAGTGTCTAGCACAGTACTGTCCAACAGAAATAGAATGTGAGCCACATATGAAACTTAGAATTTTCTAGTAGCCACACTAAAAAGTAAAATGAACCAGATAAAATTATTTTAATAATGTATTTTATTATAGTATATCCAAATATTATTTCAACATGTAATCAACAAAAAAATTATGAGACATTTTGCATTTTTTCATACCAAGTCTTTGAAATCTGATATATAACTTACACTTCCTGTACATCTCAACTGGGATGCTAAATCTTCATCAGAAATACTTAACCTGCCAAGCCAGTGACTCACACCTGTAATCCTAGTAATTTGAGAGGCCAAGGCAGGTGGATTGCTGAGGCCAGGAGTTGGGAGACCAGCCTGGCCAACATGGCAAACTCTATTTCTACTAGAAATACAAAACTAGCCGGGCGTGGTGGCACACACCTGTAGTCTCAGCTACTTGGGAGACTGAGGCACAAGAATCACTTGAAACCAAGAGGCAGAGGTTGCAATGAGCCAAGATCATTGCACTTTAGCCTGGAAAAAAGAGCAAGACTGTTTCAGGAAAAAAATGAGAGAAATACTTAATTTGTATTTAGATTTTATATGATTAACAGTTTAAAATGTAGATTCACCCACCCAGGTTGTACTAAACATACTTAAACTTTTTCAAGGAAGTTTCTAATTAATTAATTAATTTTTTTGAGATGGAGTCTCACTCTGTTGCCCAGCTTGGAATGCAGTGGTGCACTCTCGGCTCACTGCAACCTCCACTGCCTCCTGGGTTCAAGTGATTCTCATGCCTCAGCTTCCCAAGTAGCTGGGATTACAGGTGCCCACCACTATGCCTGACTAATTTTTTGAATTTTTTTTAGTAGAGACGAGGTTTTGCCATGTTGGCCAGGCTCATCTCAAACTCCCGACCTCAGGTGATCTGCCCACCTCAGCCTCCCAAAGTGCTGGGATTACAGGCATGAGCCACTGCACCCAGCCAAGAAAGTTTTTAATTTAAATTGATTTTAAAATTAAATAAAATTTAAAATGTGTTCTTCAATCATACTAGCTACATTTCAAGTGATCTATTGCTATATATGGCTAGTAGAAACTAGATTGGAAAACGCAGGTCTAGCACACAAAATGTAATCCATAATTCAGGACTATTTATTATTCTTTCTATTTTTGACTATTCCTTAACTCTCAAATGTTGGTATTTCTCAGTGTTCTGCCTAGGCTTTCTTCTTACCCTATATCCTCTTCTTTGGCAATCTCATCCACTTCCATGCTTTAATTATCATTCACACACCATAACTCTGCCAAATCTTTTTTTCTTTGAGACAGGGACTTGCACTCCAGGTTAGAGTGAAGTGGTACAATCATAGCTCACTGCAGCTTCAAACTCCTGGGCTCAAAGGATCCTCTTGCCTCAGCCTCCCAAGTGGTTAGGACTAGGAACATGCATCACCAAGTCTGGCTAATTTTTAAGTTTTTTTTTGTAGAGGTGTGGTCTCACTATGTTGCTCAGGCTGGTCTTGAGCTCCTTGGCCTCAAGTGATCCTCCCACCTCGGCCTCCCTGGGATTATAGACATAAGCAACCACACCTGGTCTTCAAATCTGTATCTCTTATCTAGACTTCACCCTTGAGCCCCGGACTTACGTACTTAACTGCCTCCTCAATGTCTCAAAAGCATCTGAACTCATATACCCTACAATGACTTCATCTTTTCCAATCCTGAAACTTCTCCTTCTAACATTATCTCAGTAAACTCATTCTAATTCACTTAGTTGCTCAAAGCATAAATCTTGGGATCATAATGGTCTTCTCCTTCATCCTCAACTCTCACAACCAATCACCATTTCCTGTTTATTATACAATCAGTGCTACTATAATACTCTTTGAAAGAGCAAACTTGTCCAATGCAATTGATGTATTGGGAACAATTTATAGTAACACAAATTTTGCATTTGTTTATGTGCAATTTTGTTCACGAGAAACACTAGATGAACACAGGAAACTACACCTTGCTGAACAGAGCTGGGTAGGAATATATAAAACATATACGTGCACACATCTTAAATATCTACCAGCCACTTAGATCACTGCATGTACGGACCACAGTCATCTGGTTACAATTTTCCATCTGATTTCAGACATTCTCCTTCCACCACTTCACAGTAACTCACAAGCTGCAACCCTTCTCATGCCCATTTCTACAAGCAAACTTTGGGGTTTTACAAAGTAAAGTACCATATTTATTATGGTATTTATGTATTTCTTAAGCATTTAATGTGTAAAACTCTGCTACCATTTTTATTAGATTCCTATCTTTTCTTTTATGTGTCACTAACGGAATTTTTGTTGCATGACTTTCTCTAGCATGGTGATTTTCAGAAATCTATATGTTGCATTATAGCAGAACTGACTGCACCATTTAATACTGGGGAATTGGCCTATTTCTCTACATTTCCTCTGCTATCAGTTTAATCCAAGTAATTACCATCTTTCACCTGGACTACAGAAACAGCCTAGTTCTGTGGTTCTCAACCAAAGACAGTACTCCTCCACTCCCACCCTGTCCAGGTCACTAGAAATGGATACAGGGTGGCATTTTTTATTATCACAATGACTCAGAGAGGCACTACTGGTATTCGGTTAACAGGGCTGGGGATGCTACAAGTTCAGCAATGTCACCCACACAATGATTTTTCCCACCCAAAAATGTCAAATGTAACCCTATTAAGAAAAACCAGCAACTGGTCTCCTGTATCTGTTCTTAGCTCCCTCTACACTGCAGCCAGAGAGAGCTTTCTTAGAATGCAAATAAGATGATGCCCCTCTTATATTTAATGCCTTTTAATAGCTTCCTCTTAACCTAAACATCAAGGTCAAAATCAAAGTGTGATTTATAGGCTCCTGACTCCCTTCTAGCCTCATCTCATGCCACTCTCCTTTTGCCACCTTCACTATGTTTTAGGCATTTATTCACACAACAAATAAGGATTAAACATCTGTGTGCCAGGAACTACTCAGAGTGATGGGGATAGAGCAATGAACAAAAGAGACGCAAATTCTTTCTCCTCCTGAAACTTACATTCTGGTTTCATGAAGCTGCCAGGCTTCTCTTCACCTCGGGGTCTCCCCACATGCTACACTGTGCTTAGCCAATTCCAACTCATTCTTCAAGGCTCAGCTTAGACATCTTTCCTCGGGGAACTATTCTCTCACCCCACCCTACTAAGTTAGTTCCTTATGATATGATCTGTGACTCTGAACTGTTTAGTGTTATTCAATGCAACTAAACTTATTTATTCAACATCCATCTTTTTATATCTCCAGGCCCTCACACAGTACCTGGCACACAGAAGGCATTCAAAATACTTTTTTATTGGCTGGGTGCAGTGGATAATGCCTGCAATCCTAGCACTTTGGGAGGCTGAGGTGGGGGGACTGCTTGAGCCCAGGAGTTTGAGACTAGCCTAGAAAACATGGCAAAATCCCATTTCCACAAAATATACAAAAATTAGCCAGGCATGGTAGTGGGCACCTGTAGTCCCAGCTACTTGGGAGGCTGATGTGGGAGGATCATTTGAGCCCAGGAGGTCAAGGCTGCAGTGAGCCATGTTTGTGCTACTGCACTCTAGCCTGGATGACAGAGTGAGAACCTGTCTCAAAAAAAAAAAAAAATTTTTTTTTTCTTACTAATGAAAATATATATGTTTACCTATGTGCATGTATCTTTATGAATATGTATGTATAAACACCTTCATGTCTGGGTATGTCTCCAAATATTTCTGCAGATGACTGCTTATGTGTATATGCACCTATATATGAATGCATGTATGGATACAGACATGCAATTTGGAGTATATCCACTTGGGGTGTATGCGTTCACATGCATATACATGTGTATATTAATGCATTTGCGTACGTGTGTATTCTTCTGGCGCCTCAGTGACAGCTCTATCTCCTAGAGGGAGCTGGAAGCAGGGCCCCAAGTCCTCTCTAAGCTGACAGCTCAATAAGAATATAAGATCATTCAATGACATTCCAAATGTCAGCAAACACAGGCCTGCTCCACTCTGCTACAGGGGAAGTAGGTGGCAGTGGGAGATGTGGAAACTTGGCCATTGAAAAGTTCCTATTTCCTGATACAACCCACACCATTTCTGGAGAAGTAAGGGCAGCTGAAAGACATTTTGCCTCTTCTCCGATTGAAGGTCTTAGGAAATAGGCATGGTGAATTCATCCCCAGTTGCTCACTCACTAGGCAAGTCTCAGGTGACCAAGCAGACCAGGGTCTTCCCCACCTTTCTGAAGAAGTAAAGCTCTGCTGGGGGAGTGGAGGAGGACGAGGGAAGAAAGGGAAGGGGGAAACATAAAGTAAGATCAAGGACACAAGAGGACCCTGTAGAGAGCCAGAGCCTGGGTCACACAGAGGAAACAAGGCATGGAGTAAGGCTTTTACATAATATTCCTGCAACCTTGGCAATGACCTCTCTGGCTCTGCTTTTATCATTACTCTTTTTAAGGAGGAATCTTAGTGCAACCTGCACCAAGTCACGCAGCATAAAGGTCAGAGAGATTACTTTGCCACTGGGCCTCTAGGACTCAGCAGCCTCTATGTCCTGAATGGCTGCTGGTAAGGACTGGGCTGAAGTTCAAAGTTAAGCCACCTCTCCTGCTGGGCCTTTAAGCACACTTGCAATACAAAGTGGCTGGGGTGCAGAGAGGAAGGGGTTAGACCCCTTGTTTTTCCCAGACTTGCTCAGGTTACCTCACATGAGGAAATCACAGGCCAACTAGGAACAGAGTCCTCAGTCTCCCCTCCCCTTGTACCTATTCCTTCCCTGTTCAGCTCAGCACAGTCTGCAGGGGAATCAAGCTGAAAAGTCTGGACAGCCAGCCTCTACCCCCACCCTTTGGGCCAGCAGCACCAAGGTGGTCCTGAGTGGCAATGTTACCACATGGGTCGGCTGCTTTCCTGCCTTTCTGCCAAGGAACCTGGAGGCAGGGAGCTATCCATACACCAAAAAGTCTAGTGAACTTCACAGGGTAATTATTCATGGTCAGCGCCTGCCTCGCCTGGCCGGGCCTTCACATTGCATTTGCTGAGGCCGGCAAGCAGCCTCAGATGTGCTCTGACAGCCGGTATGCTATCTTCCAGGGGTGCATGCCTAGCCACACCCACATGTCTAGCCCCACCACATGCGTAGCTCTGACTTGGAGGGGCCTCCATGGAACTAGTTCTTGAAGATGAATCATCAGCCAGCAATTTACTCACTGAGCACACAGCCTCTGCCCAGCCCTGGCTAGCCACCAGAGACACAGAGAGGAACCAGACTCCATCTTTGTGCTCCAGATGGACATGTCTGGAAGGAAATACACATGGATTCAGTTTCAACTGAGATAAGTGATTTCCCAAGTGCCAAGGAACCTCAAGGCAAGAGGTTGACTGCTGAGCTTCTCAGCAGAAGTGATACCTGAGTTGAATCTTCCAGGACAGGAAACATGTCTGATGAAGATGACTGAGGGACCTTTCAGACAGAAGGCAGGCCATAGGGGAAGGCCCAAACCTAGGGCAGTGTCTAGCTTCCTCAGCATAACAGGAGTAGTAAGCAGCAGTTGGTCAGTTTCAAGGGAGATCAGCCGGAGAGTGGGGTAGGAGTTAAACTGCGAACAAGCCAAGTGCAAAGCACCTGTCTACCAGTGGAAAGCAAAGGACTTCACAAATGATGCCACAAAGCGTGCAACTAAATGCAAAGTCACTATCAGTGTGGCACAAATACTTATAAAACTTTCTCTTCTACTGCTCCTCCACGTTTGCTTAGCTCCAGCCTCCCCAAACACCAAAAGCCCTCCCTGCTGAGAAAGCATTCTCTTCTCCTCCTATCCATATCCCACCTTCCTTGAATGCCCAGGTCAAGACTCAAATCCTCGCCATACCTAGCCTTACCCTCCCTTGACCTCTCTCTTCTCTAAGACCCCTGGGAGCCACTACCTTGACCCCCAGTGTGCTCTCCTTTCTCTGAGCTTCCTGGGAGTCGCTAAGCTGACTGGTGGCATGAGGTTCCTGAGGCTGCTCCAGGACTGTTGCCCTTGGATCAGAATGATTTATGGGGGTGTCTCTCTAGTGGACTGAGCCCCCCAGAGCAAGGATCCCTCCAGAGCAGGGATACTCTGCTAGGAAAGTACAGTTTTCTAAGTGATTCATTCTCTGCCAGGGCTCACTATCCTAGCCACACAATGTCCTTCCCAGTCTATAGCCTCGGCATCACCTCCCCAGGTGCTTGACGCTGCATGAGTTCCAGTCTCCCCATCAGGGAATTGGACTCTAGTTTCCATGGCCTTTCGTCACATGAGCCAGGCTCTCCTGGAGCAAGGCAGGAATAAAGCCAACTTAAATGAACCCTGCCTCCCAACCAGAGTGATATATCAAGGACGGTCAGGAGGGTCAGAGGCCACATTCATGATGATAACAAAGGAGAATGCCTTCCCAGAGGCTCAGCTAGTGCCACGTCACTCCTAGAGACAAGGCAGCTCTGCCCCCAGATTCAGCTCTGAGCAAGAGCCCCCCAAAATCTCCTTAACTGAGACGTCTCTCCATGTCTGAAAGACACCAACTAAGGCAGCATCATAATCCACCCAGCAGCCTGGTCCCCAAGCAGCTCTCCACTGTCATAAATAATCATATTTCAGTGCATATTAGCTAGGGAAAAGGAAGGAGAGATGTTAAGAAAAGAGAAGAACAAAAAGAAAAGGAAAGAACACATATAGGAAAAGAAAGCAAAGTAGGGGAGCTGTGAGGCAAAGGAGCACCAGGGGAAGCACCCAGTTGGGGCTCAGACACAGTACCTTTTTCAGATTAATCCACTGCTTGAAGTAATCCGCCACTGGTAAGCCCAAGTACTGGCACTGGCCTGGGAGCCTACAAAAAAAAGGAAGAGAGAACAAGTTGGGCACATCCAGGTCTCAGGTATGAAGACTTAAGATAGGAAGTCCAACAGAGTTTACAAGACAAATAGACCTCAAAAGGTCAACCCATTAGCCGTAGGTCCCACCATAGATACTGGGCTCCAGCTCTAGCCCTGAGATCCAAGTGTGAGAGCCCAAAAATTCTTTTCAAAATAACAGCAGCAGTGACTATTTCCTAATGGCTTACAGTATGCCAAGCACCTTATTTACATTTTCACATTTAATCTTCAAAGCAATGCTGAGACACAGGTACTGTTGTCAACATTTTACAGATGAGAAAATGAGATTCAGAGAGGTTACCCAAGGTCTCACAGCTGAAACATGATAGTGCCAAGAACTGAACCCAGTTCTGTCTGACTCCAAAGCCTATGTTCTTTCCACGCGCTGGTTTGTTGTTGTTTTGTTACAGCAGAGAGGCAAACAGACAAGACAGGAGGAGAGAAAGGCAGAGCATATGGTTTAGAGATAGATGAGCAGGGGTTTCAGCTCACGTTTAAGCATCTAGCTACAGGTTTGTTTCAAATAGAGAAGAGGTAAGGTAGAAGGATAAGAGGAGGTCAGAATTTAAATCAAGGGTCTGTTCTTGTTTTTTTCTTTAAATTAGAATTTATCAACTATCTCCCCCTCTAGCTGATGATGTTGTTTTACTCAGACAAATCCATTCAATCAAACACGCATTGATGCTTAATGAGAGTCAGGAAATAAGATGTACCTCTTGTCCATAAAGGGCTCAGTTTGTTCAGAGATATGGGCAATGAAAGAAAGACAAAAACAGTCTTAAGTCAGAGCATGGGGGCATATGCAAGGATGGAGGGAGACAATACTAGAAATATCAGCCAGAAAAGATCACAGTCCTATTCCTAAGAGAAGAGCTTTGCCACAGGCAATGGAGAGCCTCTGAAGAGCTGTGATTTACCAAGATTGTTCTAGAGGCAGCAAAAATAATAGACTGAAAAAGCAGTCTCCTGAAAAAGCCAGGAGAGAGAAACAGTAATGGTAAAGATGGTGATCAAGGAACAGACATTAAGAGATGTAAAGGAGGCCCAGTGACCAAATGATATGTGGGGTCCAGTGAGAAAGCCGTAGAGCTCTGCTTGGCTAGCTTCATGCCACTCACTAAGATGGATCCAAAGGAGGAGGCAGTGGCATGGAGAGCCTATGTGACATCCAGAGCAAGCCTGCATTTGGTCAATTTTATTATGGTTTTTAAATGCTCTACCTGCAGCGTACCCCCCTTTCTGCCCAAACTGGGGGTTGGCGGGGGGAGGAATTGCTCCCCTGCCCCATCTTTAGTATGCCACTGGAAGGAAGCAGGAGTTTGGGGATGCAGTTTTAGATAGATGCTTGACACACAATAAACACTCAATGTCTACTGAGTTTGAGGTGCCTAGGAGATATCTGGCAGTGGAATGTATCTCAGAGACAACAGGATATCCAGTTTTAAAGAGAGATCTGGAATAATATGGATTGCTAAATCATTAATAGAATTATTAATGTAATCATTAACACAACTTAAGTAAAATTGAAGCCAGGAGAGTAAATATGACCACCTCATATCGAGTGAGGTGAGCAGAGGGCCCGGGCTAATGCCTTGCAAGTTTTATTGGGCCAAAATGAAACCAGGCTACCGCCATCATCACACACAAGGACCTCACTACTTCATGAAACAGCTAGATCTAATTTTTGAACTCAATTCTTAGAAATCCTTCCTTAAATACTAAAGTCTGTCTCCCTGTAACTTCTATTCACGGGGTCAAAGTATTTGTCTTTAGAAAATACAAAGAACAGGACTTCTATCTTTTCCTCACAGAATCCTTCTAAGATCTGAGAGTCCAGAAAGCTTCCGTCGGAGTTCCCTTCTCCAAGCCACATACCCTTAGCAACTTCAAGAGTTCCTCACGAGACAATATGCCATTGAGTCAGGACTTATCCAACCTACCCCCATTCCCAAAGGGCAGGGCCCCAGACGTTTCTCAGGGTATGTGACACCTAAAGTCACACATGCTCTTTTGACCTCACTTCATAGTACCTGTGGTCAACCTAAACTGTGATAAAAGTATGCTTCCCCTTTCTGGAATATATAGAACTGATTTTTGAGTTTGAAATGCTAAGTAATTAGTGTCAACTGCCATGGAGTGGTCAAGCAAGATGACAGCTGGGAAAAACCCAATGGATTTAGTAACAAGGGGGTCAAAAGTAATCTTGGTGAAAGGAGCATCAGTGGGCTGAGTATGGGAGGCAGAAGGCAACCTGCAAAGTGTCAAAGAGTGAGAGATAAGACAGTGAAGATTACAAGTGCAAACTCCTTTTCTAGAAAGTTTGGCTACAAGAATCCAGTTGGGATGACTGATTCCATTCCAGAAAGTACAAGGCAGTTCAGTCTTCCCTCCATTACCCTTCAAATATTTGACAGATACTAATAGAAAATTGATCCCCTTGTTTCAGGCAGTGTATAGTAAGGATTTATTTTTATAAGACCCAAGATATCTTACCTGAGGGGCAGGTTCCTCTCAAACATCCAAGTGGCACAGTGACATTAACTACAACTAGTCAGTTTCCTAGAAGGGAAATTCAGGCTGAGACCAAGATGATGAAGGGGTATCCAGATAGATGTGCCCATGTAGGATGAAGGACCAAGAACATGAGGAAATGAGGCAAGGTTTTTAAGGCTGAAAGGTAGCCTTAGGAGCTAAAACGTGGTTGCCTAAGAAGCAGAACAGTAATCTGACAATAATTCTATTTCCTTCAATCTTTCTGTCCTGTTCCTTATCCTTGGTATTTGTGAAAATGCTCGCTGAACTTAGCTATTTTAGAAAAATCACATTAAAGTCTATGAGTGAAGGGGGCCACCCGAAGGAGCAGAATCCACAAAGGAATAGGTCAGGGGGACTGGCCAGCAAAAGGCAGGGAGCCTCTATCTTATTCTCCCCTAACCAACTGTAGCACTCTCTGATTCTTTTCGTTGACACAGGCCAGGAGTCCTTTTGGCTCTAGCTAGCCCTGGTGGAGGGGCTCTCTCCTTAGCAGAATTTTAAGGGTAGACAACAGCTGTAGACATTTCTACTGTCTAGGAAGGGTCTAGGTCAGTAGGATCATGCCTATTCTTCTCAGAGGAGGACCTATCCCAGAAGGGCCACACTGAGGACAGACCAGACAGACTGTCAGGTTGGATACTCAGCCTGAGATATGGCTCAGGAGCAATCCCGAGTGCCATTCTGAATCCCATGTCTGACTGATGTGCATGGGAGTTAGGCACCGTAATTCTCACTCAGGGGCTCTAGTCATTGCAGGTACACATGCAGTTTGGAGACTCCCCCACAGGTATTCAGGTCGTGGAGTAGTCCTCTGGGTAGTCCTAGCCCTGTGGCTCCAAGACGCAAGCCGTAAAAATGTAGCAGGGCCCAGCTTCATCTTCATGAGAGACAAAGGGCCAAATGCCAGAACTGGGGTTCACAGGTGCCTCATGGGAAGACAGCTACACATCTCTGTCACATACCCTACCCCAGCTTAGAGAGGACCAAGATATGAAATCTGTGAGGAAGGTGGGTTAGAGCAGTCATCATCCCTTACATAAAAGAGGAAACTGAGGCTCAGAGAAGAAAAAGATTTGTTCAATCATACAACAAGCCAAGGGTAGTACTAGAAATGGAACCCAAAACTTCTGACTGCCCAGGCATAAGTTGTACAGATACACTCAGAGCTCTTTATAGTCCCTGGGAAGGCAAAGTCCAGGGCTTTGGAGAAGCAGGTAGCATACTGGTAGCACTGCTCAAGGTCACACCTGGGTTCAAGGTTCTTAGGAGCCTAAGGTCAGTGGGTATCAGTGGGTACATGGTTCCACCAATTTGTCAAAAAAAAAGATCCCCAGGCACAAAGGGTCTGAATGTTGTATGTTCCTAGCAGATCCTGATCCTAAGAAAAGAGCCACTGGCAGTGGGCCCTGGACTAGCCTTCAGGCACAAATGTGCAGGCAGGTTTATGGTGCCCAGGTCTCCATGCAGCTGGATTCACTGGGCACAAATCTCCCCAACTGCCCAAACATCATCTGGTCATGCTTATTACTGTTGCCCAATGAAATTTTATGCACCGAGTCCACAGGTGTGATTTCCCCTTCTTTATGAGGGCCGGAATGACATCACTGATGGCCAATAGAAAAGAGCCAATTATGTCCAGGCCATAAAAAGAATGAGATTTTTTTCAACCAAATCAAAACTTCCTTCAGCTTCATGAATCCAAGAGGCCCCTTTAAGGAAGGGTCCCCAGTCCTGACTGTGGGCTCTAAACCAAGGGGCATGAATGCTTTCCAAATACTATGGGTCTAAGGCCAGAGAGGGGATCTTCCCTTGGCATTTATCATGTGACCCTGCTATTACCACACTGGCCCCTCAGGGTCACCAGAACAAATTATCAAACCCTACCCTCAGACCCTAACTGGCTCCTCTCTCTCCGTCCAGGGGAAAATTAGAAAAGATGAGATACTCCTTAAGTTCCTTCATTACTCTTTTTGAATAACAGAAAAGAAAGCAGAGAGCGTTCCCCCTGCCTAGAAGAGAACAATACATGGAGAAACGGGTGTAAGAAACTGCCCCTCACCCTCACAAGCACATAGCACAAAGCAAAAGCAGCCCAGCCTTCCTCACCCCACCCCACCCCACCCCTCATTCAGCCCTACCACCTGCAACTAAGCCACAGTGGCTGGGCCGAGACAGCCCTGATGGCAAACAGGTGTGGCTAACCCGGCGCCAACCAAGGCAGGGGAGTAGCTCATTAGGGGAACACCCCCCTTGCTAATGCGTATGGCCACGGTGGAGCCATTGTGAGCAGGAGCTCAGCTTTGAAGATTAGGTGAAGCAGACATGGGGGGAGAGCTGCTAGACTGAGGCAAGGAAAACTGCACATCCATGGAGGTCTGCTGGACAGACTGGCAGACAGACCAACAGCCAGGACCAGCAA